CCCCCCGCCCCACGCCGGCGCCGCCGGCGCTTTCCCGGGGCGGAGCCTCTGTGGGCCGGCCAAGCGCAACAGCGGCATCTGGCGGCCGCGCCCGGCACTGCAGGGGCGTCCAGGGTCGCGGGGTGGGCCCGGCCCTCCGCTGGGCGGGAGCCGGTCGCTTGTCTCTCCCTGGCTCTGGAAGACTCGGATCCGCCCCGGAGGTGTGGCTCCTGTTGTGAACAGGGGCAGAAGCTCCAGCGCTACCCTGGCCCAGGCTGCAGAACTCTGCAAGGGAAATGGGAACAGCCCTGTCCCCAGAGGCGCGTCTGGCGGTCTCTATGGAAACCGACCCTGCCCTACTCCAGAATCTCCAGGGCTCCCCACTCCTGCAGGGCGAGGGTCCCAATGCGCACGGGGCCAGCTTGGGGCGCATCACAAGCTGGCCCCATACACTTTTTTTGGCCGTCCGCTACGCGCACCCCTGCCCCCGAAAGATCCCGATAACCCCCGAACTCTTCCTCAAGCACCCCGCCCCCTAGCCGCTTTTGAAGGGGGGACCAGGGGGCAAATAACGTCCAGACGAGGGGGAAGGGCAGAGTCGGGCAGACGTTAATGATTCAGCAGTGGCGTTAAAGGTAGCTCGCCTTAAGCCACTTGAGAGCCGGCCCAGCGGGACGTCACTCACTCGCGCTCGGGTGTCTTGTCCCTCGTCGCTGCGTGGCTGGGAAGGGCAGCTGGCCTGAGGGATATGCTGCAGGGTCAGGGGCGCTCAGAGAACGCGCCCTGGAGGCCTCTTAGCATCCGGCTGCAGCTGGGCCAGGCTAGGGCTCCGGGGTCTTGGCAGGCCTTCTCAAAGGAGGAGCTCCCTGGGACAGCCCCCAGGGTGGGACACGCTGGGGCTGGGCAGAGGTCTCACTGAACGGAGGAGGCTTCGGCCCGGCTTGGCTTCTGGGGCCAGCAGCTGTGGCAGAGTTTAAGATATGGGTGCTCCTGAGTCCCTGCATCAGCTTGCACGCCCCTGGGGACAGGGAGCTCATTCCCTCTCAGGACAGCTCTAGCTACCCTAGAAGGCCTGACTGTAAGAAGGGCCTTCCCCTGAGTCGCTTACACTTGTGCCTGTAACTCCCCTCTCACCATGGCTCAGCCAGCCTTCCTTCAGGATGGAATCACTGGCTGAGGCATGTCCCTCCAGCCCTCTTGGCCACTATGCAGAGAATGCAGTCTCCTGGTTACTAATTTTGCCCACCATGCCCCATCCCCTCCCCAGGGGAGGGGCCCAAGGCCTAGCCCTTCAGGTGCAGTGAGCGCTGGTGAAGGGGAAGCCAGCCTGTAGCTTACAAGACCTCAGCCCCATTCTTCTGGGCACCGGCCTCTTTCTGAGCCTCTGCCATCCAGCCCTCCCACGTGCACATGCACACATCCAGACTCACATGCTCTTCCCCTGCCAGAAGACCTTTCCTTCCCATCTTCCCCTTCTTGAGGCCAGGCCGAGCTAGACCCCAGGGTCCTCTCCCTATGGGGACCCCTCCTGAGCGCTGGTCTCAGCCACAGTTTTACACCGGTGTGATTAGATCAGCAGGGAGTGGCTGTCTCCCGCTGAGGCCCAGAGGGCAGGGCCTGCTTACCTCCTTGACCCCGTGTCCCCAGGGTCAGCAGGACCGGGCGCTGTAGGAATCTGCACCTTCCCCCCCCCCGCCATCCGGCTGCATGGGTCCCAACCGACGCGGGCGTCTTGGGGTGATCACAGCAATTGGCTGGAAGGAGTCCGCAGCCTCCCTCGGCCTGGGCTTGACGTGTCCAAACTCGCTAAACTTCTCGGGGTGGAGGGGCTTTAGGGAGCCCTGGGGCCCCTCGGTTCCTGTGTGTGAGGTGGCACAGGGCGTCACGTCCAGAGGCTGACCCGCTGCCTAAGCTCCCTTGGCTGCCGCCTGGGTTCGGTAGCGCGGGTCGCGGGCGAGGAGGGGTCCAGGCTCACCTGGCCCCGCCCCCACCTTCGGCTCCGCCTCTGACCCCGCCCCCATCCCAGCCTGGCCCCGCCCCCAGCCCGCACCCTTTGGCGCAGCGCCGGCTAGTCGCCTAGGTCTTGGCGGCAGCGGCAGCGCGGGCAGAGGAGGGGCTCCGTGTACGTGACAGGGACTCCTTGGGGCTGTCTCCCAGGGCCACCCCATCCTAGATCCAGAACTCCGTCCTGTCTGCTCGGCGCTTGCTGGCTGCAGCCTGGTCCACCGCTGGTTGGCTGAGGAACGGGAGGGAGGCACCTGGTGTGCGCTCCACCTGGGGGGCCGGGGGCAGGGAGAGATGGGGGGTGGGGGGTAGAGACCGGCACGTGAGGGGAGAGCTGATGGACAGAAATAGATCTCAGGAGACAGAGAAGGGTTCAGGCCCCTCTTCCCAGACCTCCCCTCTCCTTGTCCCCCCCCACCTGGGCCCTCTCAGCAGCCAGAGTCTGATCTCTGACCCCATCTCCCTTACTGGGAACCTCGCTGCACATGGCCCTGTTCCGCGGCTGTACTCATTCCTGCCCCCTGGGAGCTGACCCGGCCACCCTCAGCCCTCCTGTGGTTTCAAGATGAGACCCGTGGGAAGAGAGGGAGGGGGTGGAGATTCAAGTCCAGATCCCGCCCCAGTCAGCAAGTAGGGGAGCCTCTCAACTACAGAGCCCCGGCCGGCCTGTTTCTGCGGGTGGCCCTACTGCCTGGCCTGGCCCAGGTGTCCCCCACGAGTGTGTGACTGGGGCAGGCTCCTGCCCTTCCCAGCCTGTTGCTCTGTTGTGGGGTAAGGGGGTGCAGGTCAGGCTGCTCTCCGTCCTCAGCCCAGAGCCTCTGTCACCACTGGGGTGGCTCATGGTCAGAGGAGGCCTGGGGCTCGGGTCACCCACACAGCCCATCCAGCTCCCCTCCCCATGAGCTCCATCCAGGGCCCTGCAGGCTGGGGCATGTTACCCAAGGGACATGAGGACCCTCCACCAGGGTGTGGCCCCCATGGTGACATGTGAGCTCTGAGTCCTGCTCTGTGGAGTGGCTGTCCTCATCACCACCACAATTCCCCCGGACCCTCAGGTCTCAGAGGCCCCTGGCCATGCTTTTCTGCACCCCTGTTTTGGCTCTCCCTTCCTTGTGCCCCTGTTTTGGCTCTCCCTTCCTTGCTCCCCTGTTTTGGCTCTCCCTTCCTTGTGCCCCTGTTTTGGCTCTCCCTTCCTTGCTCCCCTGTTTTGGCTCTCCCTTCCTTGTGCCCCTGTTTTGGCTCTCCCTTCCTTGCTCCCCTGTTTTGGCTCTCCCTTCCTTGTGCCCCTGTTTTGGCTCTCCCTTCCTTGCTCCCCTGTTTTGGCTCTCCCTTCCTCTCGCCCCTGTTTGTTCTTCATGCTCTCGTCACTTGTGCTACATCTGTCTGCGTCTGTCCTGTTTACCTGACTCACTACGCTGTATCTTGGCACCTGCGGAGGGGTCCAGGAGGGGCCAGGGAGAACCCAGCCAGGCCTGGACAACCACTGCGTCCCGAGCGCCTGGAACAGTGCCTGGAACACATCAGGGGCTCGATAACTGTTTGTGGCTTGAATGGGGCAGGGCAGGGCACCAGCCTCCTGTGCCCAGGGTCAGGGCGGCTCAGGAGGAAGCAGGGTGCAGCTGGAAGCACCAGCCGCCCCAAGTTCTGCCCAGGGGCCCCAGGTCTGCGTGCCCTCCCAGAAAACAAAGGCCGTCCCTGGACCCTGAACGGGGCCACCCCAGCTGTGTGTGCTGAACGTGCCTGAGCCTCAGTGAGGACGGGCGGGGCCACTGAGGCCTGGTGTGGGGAGCTCCGTCTGACCTCCGCTACCCTGCACCGCCCAGTGTTCAAGAGGGTGGCGCCCGCCTGGGGTCACACTTAGGGCGGGAAGCGGGGTTTGCTGGGGCCCTGGAGCCTCCCTGAGACTCACCTCCCCCCGCAGGGCTTCAGTCCCGGACCTGGTCCTGGCTCAGCCACTGCTCACTACATGGCTGGGCAGCCCTGTTCCTCCCCTGCGTCTTGGAAAGTGGCACCCTGACTCCCTCAACGCGGCCCAGGCAGCCGTTCCCTGGGAGCCCACCCAGGACACAGGCTGCCCTCCCCCATGCCCGGAGGGGTGGGGAGGCCAGGCGTCCCCCCAGTCCGTCCCCCAGGACTCCGTGTGCGCGGGGTGCTGTCGTGGCACAGAATGACCTCGGAAGAAGCCCTAAGAAGGAGTAATGGGGTGCCCCAGAGAGGGGGCGGGGTCTGGGGTAGGTGGGGGGAGCCAGCCGGTCCCAGGGCACCCTCCTGCAGAGTTTGAATCTTTTACTGTGGACCTGGAATCTTAAAACAACAAAATACAAATTTTCATAAAGCAGAGGGACTCCCTGGCTTTATTTTTCTTCGAGCCCCCGTCACTAACACGCTATGTGTTTATGTATCTGTCCTGTTCACCTGACTCAACCATGCTGTAAGCTCCACACTTGGGCAGGGGGCCGGAGGGGCCAGGAAGAACCCGGTCAGGACTGGGTGACCGCTGTGTCCTGAGTCTGGACCATAACTGTCACTGAGCGAATGGGGCGGGGGCTGGGGTTAGGTCCAGGCAGAGAAACAGGACTCGGACACTGAGGGAGGCCTCAGGTGGTAGCAGCAACCCCTCACTCCTGCCCGGCAACTTCTCCTTCCTGTAAATTCTTGGGTCAGCCCTCCTGGCAGCCCAAGGGGTCACAGGTGACGTGTGAGGTGCAGAGAGGCTTGGCGGCGTGCTTGAGGCTGAACAGCAAGAGCCAGAGTCCCAGGAGACGTGCCCTCTGCCTTCCAGGCTGGTCTGCCCACCCCACGAAGGCAGGAGCAGAGCCGCAGCCTCAGATGGGGCCCAGCCTGGACCAGGCACAGCGGGCCAAGCAGGACCTGACCCAGATCCCAGCCTGGACCTCGAGCCTGACCTTGTCCCAGACCCCAGACAGGGCCTGGCCCAGACCCTGACCCGGGCCCCGACCCCGCGGCACACAAGGCAGAGGCTCTTTCCAACCACAGCCATGGGCATTTATTAAGGGTCTGCTGTGCTGGGGCTGCTGCCCAAGGAACCCCCTGGGAGATGGGAGGCTGGCCTCCCCCTTCAAGCCTCATCTCCTTGCAGCCCCCTTGCCCCAGTTCTGCTCGGTTCATTCCATCCCAGCCTGGGCTGGGCCCTCGAGGCTGCCTCATGCTGGGAGCAGGGGAGCCAGCGGAACCAGTGGGCCAGGCTGGCTCAGCTCACAGAGATGGGCACGGAAGGCTTCCTGGAGGAAGAGGCAACTGAGCTGAGGATGAAAGGGTGGCTGGAATACTGGGCAGCCCAGACCCTGAGGGAGGGGAGGGAGTGGGGGCAAAGGTGTAGGAGGGGCTAGGGCTGAGGCTGGAGTCCTAGAGGGAGCCTCCCGGAGGGCCGGGAGCGGCAGAGGTGCCTGGCCAGACACATTTTCTAGGGCGGGAGCGACACAGGCTGGGCCGGGTGGGTATAAGGCATCTCCTGGAGGCCCTGCCATGTGAGCTGCAGCCAGGCCCAGCCGGAGCTAAAGCTGCCTGGGGCCCCAGAGCAGCAGGCCAGCCAGTGTGCTGAGCAGCGCCACGGCGGCCGCAGCTGGCTGCAGGGCGTGTGCCCCGCTGATGTTGCACAGGTCGGTGGAGCAGCATGTGACGTTCTTCTTGCCCACAAGGTAGTCCTGTGAGTCCTCCACACAGTGCGAGCTGCAGCCCTTGCTGATGACGGTCAGGCCAATAGCACCTGGCAGAGCACAGGGACCCTGGGGCTGGGACCGATCCTGGATACCCGGCTGCCCGGCCCTTCTCCTGTTCCCCTCAACTAAAACTCCCCCCATTAGAGTCGTCCTGGGTCAGCCTCAAGACTCTGAGCAGTGTGAGGGCAGGGCTGGTCTTATTCACGTCCAAGTGGCCAGAGCTGGAGCCAGACCCCCACTGGGCACCAGGAAATGCTTCATGAATGAGTGAACGCAGGGGCCAGGGAGGGGTGGGTGGGTGGATGGACATGGGTGGGTGGATGGATGGATGGATGGGTGGGTGGATGGATGGGTGGATGGATGGGTGGGTGGATGGGTGAATGGATGGATGGAGAAACGGGTGAGGGATGGGTGGGTGGGTTGAGGAATGAATGGATGAGTGGATGGGGGAATGGGTGTGGGGTGGATGGATGGATGGGGGAATGGGTGGGTGGGGGAATGGGTGTGGGGTGGATAGATGGATGGATGGATGAATAGGTAGGCAAGTTGAGAAATAAACGGATAGTGGATAGATGAGGAATGGTTGGATGGATGGATAGATGGATGATGGATGGAAAGCTGAGCACATATATCTATGTGTGTACAGATGGACAAGTGGACAGATGGACAGAAGGATGAATGGTTAAGTAGCAGAGATTAAACCCATGTTCTCTGAGACCCTACCAATGGAAGAAGGTACAGGGGGTCTAAGGGGATGGTGCAGAGCAGGGCAGGGCCACGCCCACCCCGGGTGGCTCAGGGCAAGGCCACTCACGGATGTGCTCCGTGTAGCACTCGGTCTCGGTGCTGGTGCAGTTCTGTACGTGCTGGCAGTCTGCGTTGCTGGCCTTGTCCTTACAGGAGTAGCACTGCAGGGCAGAGCCTGGGGGCGGGCAAGCAGGGTGCTCAGAGCTGCCCACTGCCCTCCCACCCCGCCAGCCTCATGGCTCAGCCTCTCCGGGCCGAGTCCCACCTCCTTCCTCCTCCTCCCTGGGTGCACTGCCCATCCGCAGGCTCCCTGTGCATTTGGCAGCATCTCTGTCCACCCATCTGTCTGTCTGCCCCCTCCACGAGTCGGGCCCTGAGCCACACGGTGAAGGAGACAAGGCTGCCCTGCCCTCCGAGCCTGCCGGGCGGTGGAGACAGCAGCAGGGACAAACCATAGCAGGAGCTGTTGCTGTGTTCTGGGGGCCACGGAAGTGCTACGCAGGGTGGATGGGCTGGGACCGGAGCCCCTCCCTCTGCTGCTTCCCCCCTTTCTCCCTCCTCTTCTGGCGTTCCCCACCCTTCCTCTCCCCCAGCTGCCCTTCTAGGCTCCCTCTTCTCTCTGAGTCTCCCTCCAGCCCTCCTTCATGTCCCCCAGTCCTGCCCCTCTGCCCAGGCCCCATGGCCAGCAGCGGGGCCTCACCTGGCTGGAGCACCAGGCCCGCGGCCACCAGGGCCAGGAGGACAGCCTTCATGGTCACAGGTGGGCAGCACGGAGCTGCCTCTGGTGACTTTATACAGCTGCAGCTGGCAGGGTGGGCACTCCGCTGCCCAAGGGCCAGACTGACAGGTCCCCAGGCTAGTGGGCGCTGCAGCTGGGCAGATCCCAGCTCGCCTAGCGGCCGGCTTCGCCCTCCCCCTCCCTTTGTCCTTCTTTCCACCTCATCCAAGCAGAGCCCGCCCAGGGCGGGGCCCCTCCCTGGATGCCGGATGTCGTCCTCAGGCACCACTGGGCCATTTCTCAGTCACCCCTAGGGCCAGGACTGGAAGGCCCTCACACCACCAGCATGAGGGACTGCCTCCCAGGGTCAAGCATGTACCCCGTGCCTGAGGGCAACCCGCTGGGCTTACAGCCCAAGGGCCACAGGCATTCACCCAGCCCTACAGAGTTTTCAGCACCAATCAAACTGAGTCTGCAAAACTCCACCACCACCGCCCATGGCTGTCAAGCCGATTCCAATTCTGATTCATAGCGACCCTACAGGACAGAGTAGAACTGCCCCACAGAGTTGCCAAGGAGCACCTGGTGGATTCAAACTGCTGACCTTTTGGTTAGCAGCCGTAGCTTTTAACCACTGTGCCACCAGGGTTTCCCTGCAAAACTACAGAAGCGCAAAATCGCTGGCCGAGAGAGGTGCCCTGGGACGGGAGCTGGTCCCGTCTGGGGTCGAGACCCTTCCCTGGGGAGGTGGCCAGCAGTTGAGGGAGAAGCTGGCACAGCCACAGGCTCGAGTGTAGCGAGCATTTAGTGTGGGCCAGGCCTGGGCCGAACGCTCTGCCCTCAGTCTCTTGCTTCATCCCCACTACTCAGCACTGGGAGCGGCAGCTAGCTGCAAGGGAGCCGGGAACTGCAGCTCTCCGCTGTGCCACCTCTGCAGCAGAGGGGGTGGAGGGTGGCTGAGCACCAGCTGACCAGCCTTTGTGATCCCCCAGACCCCTCGCCACCTGTTCTGTGTCCCAGGAGGCTGAGCACCAGCTGACCAGCCTCTGTGATCCCCCAGACCCTTTGCCACCTGCTCTGTTTCCCGGGAGGCTGAGCACTAGCTGGTCAGTCTCTCTGGGCCCCCAGGCCCCTCGCCACCTGCTCTGTGTCCCGGGAGGCTGGGCAGTCTCTGTGTGCCCCCAGAACCCCGGCCACCTGCTCTGTGTCCCAGGAGACTGGGCAGTCTCTGTGGGCCCACAGACACCCAGCTACCTGCTCTGTGTCCTGGGAGACTGGGCAGTCTCTATGGGCCCGCAGACTTCCAGCTACCTGCTCTGTGTCCTGGGAG